CCCCCCCCGACCCTCCGAGCCAGGGGATTTCTGCCCGAGTCACCGGCCGGGACAGCGCGCGGTCCCCGGGATCGCGTAAACACACGTGCTCAGCAACCACCACAGCGCACCCTGACACGTGCCAGCATCTGACACCCCGCGTGCCCGGAGGCCTCGGGAGCAGGGAGCAGCGCTGAGCACACAGTCGGTGCTCAACACGTGTCGAGTGAACAACACGCGAGAGCGATGACACAAGGCCCACCGGGCGCGTGGGGACCGGGCTCCTCCCGCTGGACACCTCGGAGGCCTTTCCACAGCGCACCTGTCACCACCTCCTCGCAGGCAGTTCTGTCAGCAAACCTCCACACTCGTTCTTAAAAGCACATGGTGCCGCTGACTCATGCGTCTCCTTTCAGGGGTGTGACAGCAAACTGAGAGCCATCTCTCTGCGGGCCGCAGACGCCGCCGACCCCATCGCTGGTACGTCCACCCGCTGTTACCCCAGCGTCTGTCCCCCTGTCGCTCCTGCTTGCAAAGGACAGCACCGGCCCTGTAACGCGAGAGACGGGGAACGACCCTCCCCCACCTTCGAGGCTGCGCGCTGGGCGCCTCGGCTGCACCATGGCTGTGACCGCGGGGGACGGTGACAGAGGGAATCAAAGGCCAAACCACACACTGTCATACAGATTTTAATAGAGTTTCTGATTGACTCATCACAGTAACCATTTCTACTGTAATGATATGCAGCTTTACTACATGAGTATAAATAAAAACAGATAAATACAGCTCTAGGCAACATCACAGATTAACAAACTAAGCATTCTTCATGAGCCAAAACTGAAAACAATGCTGAATAAGAAGAGATGCTGACACCCTTGCCCATTCTCATCATACCTTCTCTAAAAGGGTACTCAAATGAGGCGCTCCACCCACATCGGTCAATCTGTTCGCCAATGAGCCAGGCACATCGATCTCATGGTCTCCAGTGTTCCCTCCTTTGGCTGAAAGGCAGACACACCCCAACGTACCAAAAGGAAAAGTGGAACAGAGTGACGCAGACAACCACGAGCGCACTGGAGACACGGCCCCCCTCCCCTGTCTCAGCAGGGCGGACACACCGAGAAGAAAATCAACATCCGCCCGAGATGTCAGTCTCTGAAGCAGGACCTGAAATTGGAAAGGAAACGTGGGAGACAAAATCCACGCCACGTGTGACTTCGTGAGGCCGTGCCTCTCGGGGGCAAATGCATGGATGACAGGTCGAGAGGAGACGCACAGGACCATCATTCAGGAAGGACTGCCCTCCAGACACCAGGAAGAAAGCCTGGAGGCGGCCAAGGGGGGAGGAACGGGGACAAAACACTAACTGCAGGCAGACAGCAAAACTCAGAAGGTCTCACGAAATTCCTAACATTTTGCTCAACTCTCAACTGTGACTCTAATCTGGCCTCATGATCTTATAAACCTTCCAGATGGTGAAGATCTTCCGTGATCTCACAGATCTTACAGATATATTAAGAACCAGGAAGTGAAGAACCACTGCTAAAATGTAAAAACAGCTTATTGCCAGTTATGTTTCAGAAAATGTGCCCGTAAAAATTCACTTTTGCCTCCAAAAATACATAATCCAGAATTTTTAGGCCAGTGCTTCAAGTAAACTGCCTTTGCCAATAGTGAATTAAGACCACGATTAAGTCAGATACTTCCAAAACCCAGAATTCCAAACACATCCCAGTATATTTTCAACTCATCCTGCAAAAAAGTGCAGTGGGGATGGATTCAAAACGTCACTGGACACCTGGACGCGACCTATGCAAAGATTCACAGGTTCTGTTCAGATTAACGTTTTAACTGCCACCTCTGCAATTCTACTGTTTTCATTTCATTTTTCTTTTAAAGGTAAACAGTGTTTAACTTTTGGTTTTAATCTGCAAAATAATATGTAGTGTTTCAGCTTCCAGTTAATGAGTCAAAATGGACAGGTCAGAAGACAACCCAGGGGATGGCAGTGAAAGATCAGAAAAGGTTTCCATACACATCTGATCGCAGAGAAATAACCACAACCACATCTTAAACCCTTGTTCCCACTGTAAACTTTGTTCGTATCTCCATATTTCTAAGTCTGAATTAGTCTACAAAAATCACATTAAAAAGGTAAAATTACTTAAGTGCGATATTAACTGATCTGTATTTTATAAATTTTAATCCATAAAAATATAAATAAGAATGGTAAATTTTTAAGAAAGAAATATACATTTAGTGCAAGTTATGAATTACATTTCTTCTTCAGCGTCAGCAGTAAAACACCTTGAGGAAAGAAAAGAAAAGAAAAGAAAACGACTGATCTAATTTCAAGAAAAAGAAAATTCCAGTGTTTAAACATGCAACTCATACCAGGTGCAGCTAAACAGAATTCTTCCTTCTCGTCACTGTCAAAACAGCAGCATCTTGTCTCCTTACGCTCAACAGTACTTGTGTATTATAGGAGTTTTAGAAACAAAATCTGCATACGACCAGGTCACATTATCCATAAAGTCAGAGAGGGGCGGAAAAAAAAGCAAAAAAGAAAACTGTTTATCCTCACAAGTCAAGTTCACCGTTGTTGGTTCTGAACCACACGGCACCCGAGCGAGAGCTCATTTCTCCTCCGTGGAGGTCTTCCCGGTGCCATGGGCCCCTATCGGCGCACACGTGACTGCACCCAGCATCTCGTGATGGGGCAAACTACAGGGTTAAGGGCACAAGAAACACTCCCTTCTTCTGTGTGAAACCTCAGTACAACCTCAGTACATCTCAATATGAGAAAGGACTGCTTCCAAAGGGCACACCAACTTACAGAGGCTTTGTTAGAGCGCGAGAGAGAAGGGGCGGCGGGGAGAGGGAGAAGCTCGTCCGGAATGTAGAAAGGTAACGCTTTAACTGTACACTTCATGAGTTAAACAGAAAAGTTTTGATTAAAAAAGGGCAAGACCTTGCAGTCTTAGAGATGGCTCAATTCAGAGGGATCCCTCCTGAAACAGGCACGTCTCTGCGGTGCTGGAGAGCGGGCCGGGGGCCGGGGTCAGGCTCGGCCGCCCTCCCCGTGGAGGGAGGCCCAGGCCACACCCCGGGCTGAGCGCATCCAGTGCAGACAGCAGACCACGTGGCCCCCTCGTGGGATGGGAGATACTCACTCGCCTCCGTCTCTCTCTCCTTTCCCTCCCCAAACAACTCCTCCATTCCACCAGCAGTACTGCAAACCATGTTGCAGCAGCCCGGCTTTTCTATTTCCTTTTCTGAAGGGGGTTAAAGCGCGGTGCTGCTCAGCAGGCGGGCCTCCTCCCCGGCCTCCTCTCCCTCTGACGTCACAGGGCTCAGTTGAACATTATGGACGCGGGGTCTTGGTTTGCCGTCTGGGCCATATGACGGAGGATATCTTTTTTTGTGATGATACCAAGGAGGCGTCTGAAAAGGATAAACAGAAGGTTGCCATTAAAATTAAAAGGAAAAGAAAAGAGGAGCTAAATCCATAGCTAAACCCTTTTTGTTGACAGGAGTAGAGCAAAGCAAGCAGCCTGATTCTGTATCTTCTAAAAGCATTTTACTGGTAAAGATAATTAAATGCCCAGCACCCATCCTTGGATATAGCGAGTACGACGTCACTAACAGCTCGGTGTCCTTTCCCCAAGACTGAGGACTGGGCCCCCCTGAAGCACAGCCACTCTGAGTAATGTGTGCCAGCGAGAAAGGGACAAAGACGGGAGGATGTAGAACAGGAAAGGACGCTGACCCCACCTGAGAAGGAAAATTTGTTCCCACCGCATCAAGAAAGAAGTGTCTGGTGACCAAATCCCCTCAATGTTCTGCTTTTTTTAAAGCCAAAATGAACTAACTTTAAAAAAATAACTTAAGGATTGCCCAGTTGTATGCAGAATCTACATGAAAGCACATACAATTGAGATAAAATGCATATAAAATGGTCAACACAGAATTTCAATCCCAAACTTCAGAATCCCAAGAATAAATCTCTGAGACAACCCAAATTTCTAGTACAGTCATCAATGTCTTCCTTTTTTGATTTTGGTCAAAAAAGTTAAGATACAGTGCTTTTATGAAAGTCTGAGTTGTTAATGCTTACGTTAAAAGATAGGTGAAAACGTCAAGAAGGAGTCCTAAAAGATGATTATAGATGAGGCAGAAAGCAGAATGGATGGGTAGCTACTTACTATTCTGGTTAGTAGCTTTTTTTTAAGAACAGGATGCATGAAACACTTGTGAAGGGTTAGCGCACAACAGGGGTGCCTGATCGGTGCTGGACTGGGACAGGTCTCACGGAGGGATGGCAATTGCAGGGCAAGACAGTTCCAGGCAGTAACTGCCAAAGCCAGGCCACTTATCAGATGATTCAAAATCATCTCCAGTCATGACCCCACTGGGACAGAGAGCCAGTTAGAACCACCGCACATGGCTCTCAAAGCTGCTGACAGCGTTCTAGAAACAGCCTGCGAAGGGCACAGGGGCCCACGCCCCAGGACTCTGCGGGTACGACAGAGAACGGAGGCCGGTGACAACCACGTCTGAGCCAGAGTCCCCACAAGACGGCCAAAGACCAGGGAACAAGACAGAGACGGGGTGGGGCTGGGGGACACTGTAAGCAGAGCGGGCTGTCCTCGAGGGCACGTATTTGCCACAAGAACGTCCAAGGGGGTTCACTCGCCGGCCAACCACACTGCCTACAGCCCCAAATCCAAGGAAAGACCCTGACGGGAGGCGGGACCCGCTGGCCCTCCCTACAGTGGGGCCTGGACACGCCCCCAGCCTCGTGGACAGACTGCGGGCGTGTGGGGGCGGGAGGGTCACGGCCCCCAGGTTCCCGCCTCGGCCCCCAGGTTCCCGCCTCGGCCCCGGAGGTCTGGCGGCGTGTGCACGGTCACGTCACAGCGCGCCCCCCACCCGCGGGTCTGGGGAGCAGCTGCGTGATCACCAGGGGCTCGGCGCGCCGCGTCAGCTCCTCCAGGTGCGCTACCATGTTCTTCTTGGTGATGATCCCCAAGACGCTCCTGCAACAGACCACGTGATGCTAATGACTGCGGGAGAAATTAGGCGGGAGGGGCTTCCAATCATAATGATAGAGGATGCGAGAAAAAATTAAAACATGAACCATAAGAATGCTTTCATGAGCTTTAGGAAAACAAACACAAAAATGATCTGAAATCCCAGGTCCCACTGCATGAATTCTACTGACTTTCCAAAGTGACATGATCCTATTTGAAACACTGGTGGGTGGTTATCCTTTTTAAATTAAAAATCAAAAGCTCACAATGACGATGACTACAAAAAAGTACAAAGAAACAACATCTATCAGAGCTACGAAACCCTGAAATGGAGTTGCATTTGCAGCATTCTTCCCACAAAGGAGAGTGCTTCTCTCATTTCTGAAATGTCGCTCGCGGCCCTCCTCACTGGGCCCACCCTGCCGGGGAAAAGGCAGAGGCGGCCCGGGCTCCTCAGGCTCTGGACTCCAGGCCTCTTGCCCGTCAAGAGACTTAAGAAACCCCGTGACTATTACTTGTAATTAAAATCAAAGAAAACGCACACTAAATAAAGCTGACTAATACATGCGCTCCCTGATTTTCAGGACCTGCCAAATTCTGCTTCTTAAAATAAGCTTAATAAAAATGATTTTTTGATTTTATACATTTTTCTCTAAATAATGATTATTTCTCAGTTAATATTATTATAACATCAAGCAAGATGATGAACAAATTCTCATGAGGGTACTTGAAAATAATTCAACTGCTTTTTAATCATTAAAACAAAATTCTGGTAACTGGCTTTATAATGCAAGTGAATGACTTCAACTACAATGTATGGCAATACAGACAGCGAATGTCAAGAACCCTAAAAAGCTTTAATCTTTGAATTCTGAAAGCCCATCCAGCGTGCCCTTCAGGGTGACTGGATGTCCCTGTGATCTGGTTAAGTCAGCTCTGTATGGCACTGCCTCAGACCATCCTGACTTCCCGGAGGAGTCACAGGGGACCTCGTTCAGTCAAAGGCTCTGGTCCCCCACCGACCTCAGTTATAAAGCAGTCACTAGGGGGTGCTCGGGGCGGGGCGGCAAATGGAGGGTAGGGAATGGGAAAGGCAGAAACAGGTTCTTTGCTAATTTTTCTCATTATGTTTTAAAAGAACGTACTTTTCCTTAAGAACAAAGATTAACTGAACAGTTCTCAGAGCATGGGAGCCAGTTTCCCTCCAAAAGGCTCAAAAAATGCACTACATAAAATAAACACTAACTCAGTAGGTGTTCTTCTCTCACTAAATGTCTGAGGTAAAACAGACAAAAACCGTCAATTCACTTGCATTTAGAGCTGGAATCAAGAAATGTGAGCATCCTGACAATTCAGTAAAAGAATCGCAGTTTAGTTCTTACTCATTCTTTTCTACCCAGCTACATACAATGATTAATTTCAGCTAAGGTGTTAGTAACCTCTGCCAAACCGCAAGGTACACCGTGAGGACAGTCACGAATTTATTAAAGACACAATGGCAAATTTATAGACTTCTAAAGTAATCTTCGTATTTACCAAGTAACAGCCCTAAAAAGGAGGAAATACACCTATTTCCTCTCTTTAGTTACTGGAGAAAAGAGATTTGAGAGTAACAAGGGCAAATTCAGTGCTGCTTTATTACTTTCAGAAGCGCAAGGAAATCAATGCAAAATGTGATTCACGTAGGAAACAACTTTCTGTTCCCTGGAGGTGGCAGGGGGTGGGGGTGGGGGGTGGCGAACAATGACGTCAGAGTGGACAGGGCATGACCCAGCATCTTCCCAAAGTATCAATACTGGTTTCCAAGAAACACGAGTTCCAGGAGTTCCTCTGCTCCCGTTTTCCTCCCCTAAAGGGTGCACGTTTGGAAAACCACGTTTGCTGTTCACTCCCCTCTGAGAAGCTCCACAGTAAAGAACCTCAACTGTATTTAATCCAACACTTTACAAACGCATATGGTCACGGACCTCTTTTTTGAGCCATTCTAGTTAACATCCTGCTGGTTCCACCAAGACTAAAAGATTTTAAGAAATTCTGCTAATCAGAATACAAGACATGGGGAATCTTCAACGCTGACAGACACCCGCCTAGTCTCACTTTCTCCTTGCGTCTCAGACTCTAGGTTCCTCAGGTCTCCTTCCCCCCAGATACATAGTTATTTTCCACCTCGAAGGACCCAGTATGAACTGTAACATGTTGACCATTAGACTCTCCACTAAAATGCAGAAGAGATGAGCTCTCTTCTTTTATCTACCAATCTATTAAGTAAGGAAAATATCATCAAGGCCAATAAACATAAAAAGCCACCTCCCACCCCATGCTTTCTTACAAACAGGCGGGATCAGGTAAGATCCTCATCAGCTGTCCCCCCACCCCTTCACTCCTTTCCAGCATCCGTGCTGCTGAGAACCTGAACTCCGTCAGCAGGGTGCACGACGGGCATGAACCCACACAGCCTGTGACATGCTCCACCGGGACTGGAGAATGACATCCACACTTGTTATGACACAGGAGGACAAGCCACGCCAGGCACAGAGAGCAACACAGAGCAGGTCAACGTTTAATAAGCCAGCTCACTCAGCTAGGCTTCCAAGTGAGCCATTCATTACTAAAAGGACCCCAAACCTTCATGAAAAGGTACTCCATTTAGTGTGTACTTATTAAGCTTTTTAAACAATGAAATCTGGTACCATTACTCTTTAAATCAAACATTAAACAGAAGAAAGTAGTAATTTTACAACATACATCTCTTCTCCCATCAGTATCTGTGGCATTTGATCGTCAGACTCCCTGCCCTTGATCAAGAGCTGCATCCCTCAAATGATTTATTTCCTCTTACCTAGACTTAATCTTAGCCGGTTGGCACAGTTGAAACACCAATCATGGATCGAGTTCTCTAGCTTTCTGTTTCTGTTCCTAACCCAATACAGGCTAATATACTGTCCAAGAAAACAGTAGTTTAAGAAATCACAAAGAAAGAAGACAGACTCTATTGGTCAATCACCACGTAAAGCAGCAAGAGGCTAGGCTTCTGAGCTGGAAGGCTACCTGACCCCTGAGCTACGCCGTGCTGACCACATGCCTGGACACATCTCCCCAGCCTCGAAGACCACCTCTGTGCAGGGGGCCGCAGAGGTAAACGAGAAACTCGAAGGAGGTGTCCCATCGGGAGGTGTTCGCTTTCCCTCCTTTCTCTACAGAGGGGTCGTGTGCTTTGTCCCTACGGGACTGTTTGTTAAACCGCTGGGTCCTCTAAGTGTGCGGTGTTTCCAGGAGCCTCACGCGGCGCAGGGGAATCATCCCGTCTACACACAGTCCAGCCTTGCTGTCATCAGCCTGCAGGTAAAACACTGTGCCTGAGGATTCCAAGTGGGAAGAGCCATGCAGTAGGGATCAAGGGGCCCAGAGAGAAAGGGCAGGAGGCAGATGCCAGCCCAGGAGCAGGGGCACAACGCCGGGCTGAGGCCCGTGTGCCGAGGCGGGCCCGCAGTGCGTCTCCGCGCTGCCTGACACCCGCCAGGCCATACCTCCCCACACTCCTACCGTGGGGAAACACGGCCAGTTTACGTGCAAAGGGCAGAGAAGTCAATTTATACATTTTAAGTGCACTGGTGTTCATCTGCCAGCACCTTATTCAAAAGATTTGTGGATGGAGACCACAGAAAAGCAGAAACAAAGCGTCTGCGAAAGGCTTTCATTTAATTCACAAACCTCGTTTAATTATATATGATTTCCCTCATTACACGATAAATCAAAGAGTAAACAGCAAAACATTTAGAAAGCTATCACTGTACTGGAGATGAATACTCTAACCATGGCATACTTACGAAAAGAGAACAGGGTGCCGCGGCGCTGCAGGCCGCGGGCTCCGCCGCCCTCTAATAGGGGAAACATCCTCAGTCGGACCCCGCCCACCCCGCACCATGACGCCTCTGGCTCCCTGCAGCTCCAAAGTGCTCCTGAGAAATGTCACTTCCTGTTTTGGCAAAGACCTGGCAGTTGACACTCTGCTCGCCGTTGGTAAGTGGGACTCCGAGGAACCCCCTCCCGGGGAGGGCGATGGGGCTGACCGGGCTCCCTCAGAGCGTCCCGCAGGCTGGCGGCGGCCGGGCCGAGCACACTCACCCGTTGTGCGTGACCAGGCACTGCCGCAGGCCCAGCTTCCGGAAGATGTCCACCACGATCTCCATGGGCGTGTGGTCCGTGACCGTGAATGGGCTCATGTCAAGGATGCTGCGGAGTTTCAGTGGCCGGGGACTCTCTGCTGGGAGGGACGGGGTGTGCTGTGCGAAGCACACGCGAGAACTGCCCACTATCCCTTCCTGTTTTTTTCTGGCACTCTCTGAAGAGACAGAGAAGACCAAAGATTAAAAATTGGTAGGTTTTCTTTTGCTTGTTTTGTTTTCAGGACAAGCTGCTTATTCAGAGATTTAAAACAATAAATAAACGTATCCTTTCGGTCCCCTCTTTCTTCTCCCATCTTCCTAACCAAGAAAAAAATGGACTGAAAAGCCATTTAGCAATTTCTTAAAATAGACAGAATTAGGATCCACCAATAACAAATCATCTTCATGCAAATAAAATACTTGTGGTATAATTATATCATGGTATAATTTTCTTTGCTGTGGTCTAACTTTGGGGGACAAGGAAGCATACTGGGAATACGGGCTTTTAAAGGCACACAAGTAACGAGAGCACCACTGACTAAAGGAACGCACCCCCGAGCGGCCTGCCTGTGCCGTGGGCCACTCCTCCTGCCTTGGAGGCGGGACCACAGAGAATCTCATCCTTGCCTGGACCGTGTTGTCTGTCCTACCCCTGTGAACCGGCTAGTTCTTCCTCTTTTCTGATGTTCAAGCTTGACTTTCTAGGTGCGTCATGAGGTGGGTTGAAAGTACAGTTACACACGGAACGGACACCGAGCGACTTTCGAGGTTTATCTGCACAGGCTCCGTTCATTCCCGCTTTCTGGGGCTCCGCCTCAAGTGCTCCTGTCCTGTGCCTACTTCCTCTCTGCCACCTCTCAAACTGTGAGACAACAGGTGGCCAGGACGCAGAAAACGGCAGAGGAGGGGCGGAGACCGTGGGGAAGAGAAGGAAACCCGCAGAAGGGAGAGAACACACACAAGCAAAGTGTAAGAGCTTGCGCTCCTCGTTAGTATGAATCCCAAGCTGCGTGCACAAATATCCTACGTGCCATACTGAACACATCCTGAACATGAGTCTTGCCGCAAAAATATGTAAGCCGAAGTAACAGGCATCAGCCCTACAAGAGCAGGGAGCCCAGCTCACAAACACACACCACAACGCCTTCTCCTTCCGTCCGGCAAGGCCCTGCTTCACTGTGCTGTCACGGTCAGTGACGTCCCGGCGCCAGGATTCCCTAAAGCACCTCAGAAGCATGCGAAGGGCACAGAGAAGAAGAAAGCCCATCAGCAACTGACATAAATCACTTCTGAAAAATGCTCGTGGAAGCATCAGGCTAATGGCTTGTGAATGGAGGAACGGAGGTGCTGTTAGCATGTATGACAGTTGCTCTGTGAAACCTGGTAGTGACAGATTCCAAAAACATCCCCCAGGGATCTTTCACTTGTATTAATTTCACTTGTATTAATTTCAGAAACCAAAAAAGTCTCTATACTCATAAAATGGTGTTTCAACTACCCGAGGAGGTACAAAGCTAATTTGAACTCCTACAAAGAGATAAACAAAAGGCTGGTCCATGTACTGCAGTTCGGATTATTGAGTAAACGCTGTTTCACAGTCTAAGGCTGATAATAATACTGCCATGGGGAAAACTTTCAGCAGATCCTCTCTCCCAGGTGCACAAGCTAAAGCTTTACTCTGAACAGAAGCTCCCGAGGGGGCAGGAGAAAAGTACAACAAGGGGAGCAGCCTAACTGTCACTGCGCCATTACCTTTCTAATCGGGTTCAATATGTCAACGGTATTCGAGTTCTCATGCATTAAGAATCTCCCTGTAAAACTCACAGCTCCTAGCACATAATCAGAAAGGAGCAAGTACACTTTTATACCTTAAGGTGGAAAACAGGAAAGATGATTCAGTTCACACTATAAATGTACTATTAAATATATGCTTCATTTTAAACAAATCTATAAAAAAGCATTCAGCCTCACTTTTACATCTGGACAAAAAAAATGCAGAAGAAATGTCTCTCCATTTGGACTAAACTTTAACACAGCAGACTGTCATCTACTCCTGGTGAGAGTCCATGGCAGAACCACGACTTCGTGCAATCTGAAAACACCTCACAAAATTACAAATGCACTAACTCTCTGGTCCAGCGATTCCATTTCTAGCACTCCCCTACATCTGCACAGGCAAAATGTCAAGTACACAAGGTTATCAGATACGTGGCAAGGCTGAAAACATCTTAAATGTCCATCAGCGGGAAGCAGATTTTAAAAATCATGATGTATTCCACAGTACATCCACTCAGTGGAGTACTGTGTAGCTGTTAAAAATAAAATGATTTGGAAAGATGTCCAAGAAAACATTGTTTAGTGAAAAAAACAAGACACAGAACAGCACGTATTGGGTAGCATGTTATGACTCGTTTTATAAAAAAGGAGAAAATGTATACACTTACTTACACAGGCAGAGAATGATACCTACAGAAAACATAAGAAGCCAAGGAGACAGTTGCCTACAGAGCTAAATTGGTGATTACGAGGTCATGGGTGAGAGATTTTTCATTATATACCTTTTTTTTTTCTTTCTCTGCATGGCAATTCATCACCATAAACTTTTAATCTTCTCAAATTTGAACTATGTGAATGTACTATCTACATACAAACTAAAAAAAGGGACTTCCCTGGTGGCGCAGTGGTTAAGAACCCGCCTGCCAATGCAGAGGACACGGGTTCCAGCCCTGGTCTGGGAAGATCCCACATGCCGTGGAGCAACTAAGCCCGTGCGCCACAACTACTGAGCCTGTGCTCTACAGCCTGTGAGCCACAACTACTGAGCCTGCGTGCCACAACTGTGGAGCCCACACGCCCTAGAGCCTGTGCTCCGCAACAAGAGAAGCCACTGCAATGAGAAGCCCGCGCGCTGCAACCAAGAGTAGCCCCCGCTCACCGCAACTAGAGAAAGCCCACGCGCAGCAACAGAGACCCAACTCAGCCAAAAATAAAATAAAATTTTAAAAAAACTAAAAAAATATTTTTAACGATATAACATAAAATTTAATGCTGAGTTTATAAATAAATTTGGAGAAAACTGCTCTTTGAAAATCTTGAGTTTTCCACCCCCAGACATAGTATATAGTTCACAATTTATTCAAGCATTCCTTTCGGTCCTTTGATAAACTATTTTATATAAATATCTATAAACTACATATTATATACAAAACGCTAGTGTACAGGTCTATTTCTCCCATTCAAAAACTAAAACTTTACCAAAATATATGCTGGCAAATATTTAAGGTGTGTTAAAGAAAATCATGCTGTGACTAACCCTTCTGATGACATGAGTTGCTATTTCACACATCTAAAGTAGTACCCCTAGTTCCCTTAAACTGCCATTATCTTCTATCCCCAATGTTCTATTTCTCAAGACAGTAATAAAATCAACTTTTAAAAATATGTCCACAGAATCAATGGGAATATAAATAATTCTTAACTTTACCACTTTATCTTTTAAAAACCTGGGCTTTTTTTCCTTTAGATTTCTACATAAATTCCAAAATTCTGACCCTTTTCTTTTTTGCTTTTACTATTACAACGTAATGAACAAAGTGTGGACAGCGAGACTCTTCTCCGACTGTAGGTCGGCCGTGGTGACGCTCAGAGACTGAAACACTTGAACGCGGCCACATCTAACACACACTCCGCCCACTCGGACAACTACCGGTCTATCAGCTCAAGGGAATGCTAGGCTTTGAGCAAGTCTCCCAAAGCTGCAGCCTTTTCCTTAGCTGAACTGGATATTCTGCATAGGCTCTTTTCTTTTCTTTCTTTCTTCTTTTTGCTTGAATAGCTCTTGTAAACTGAGAGCTTCCAGTTTGCCTTGAGATATGCTGCCCATCTACACCATCCAGCCTTCCCTCTTCAAGTGGCTCAAGAACTGAAATATTTTACAACCCTTTGGCCACAGAGGTAAGTTGGAGGGAGGTGACAGGCTCACTGGAATGACCTTTGGGGACAGGCTGAACGCTCTACATTTTCAGCTCCGAGTCCTCTACTGAACACCAGGAGTATCAAAGCAATGGCTGGACGAAAATACCCTCTATCACAGGGGTCCCCAACCCCTGGGCCACAGACCGGTACCAGCGCGTGGCCTGTTAGCAACCAAGCCGCGCGGCAGGAGGTGAGTGGCGGGCAAGCGCGCGAAGCTTCATCGGCCGCTCCCCATTGCTCGCATCACCGCCTGAGCCATCCCCCACCCCTACCCCCCCCACCCCGTCCGCGGAGGAACTGTCTTCCACGAAACCGGTCCCTAGGGCCAAAAAGGTTGGGGACCGTCGCTCTATTACCTCTGGGGGTTTGGGAAGAGGCGTCAGATTGTGTAGAAAGGACTGAAGCCTGATTGGGCTCCTCATCAATACTGCAGGACTACAAGGAAAGGGGATAAATAACTTTCGGAGGAACAAAACTGGCTTCCTCCTCCTCAGAAGTTTAATTTCTATCCAAGAAATAACACAGGATGGTTAATGCCTTATATACTTTTTCAACCTGGCATTTAACCAAAAATAAAATCTCTATAATTTTTTTCGCTTTAAACCAGGGGTCCCCAACCCCGGGCCAGTACCGGTCCACGGCCTGTTAGGAACTGGGCCACACAGCAGGAGGTGAGTGATGGGCAGGCGGGCGAGCGAATGAAGCTTCATCGGCTGCTCCCCATCGCTTGCATCGCCGCCTGAGCCATCCCTCACCCCTACCCACCTGCCCCGTCCGTGGAAAAACTGTCTTCCATGAAACCAGCCCCTGGTGCCAAAAAGGTTGGGGACCGCTGCTTTAAACTATATATTACAAGTTAATACTGTAAATCTACATCCAAAAATTGAAAAAGCAAAACTCTACGGATCTGACATGAGACAGACCAAAGATGATGTTTTCTGTAACTTGCATTCAAATAAGCCAACTTTATTAACTACAAGAAGGTATTTAGCTGTATGCCTCAGCAGTTACTAAGGCCTTATATAACATGCTATTATGAAAACTGTCAACTTAACAAGACTTATCTGAGTGAGAAAAGAAAAGGCTGGACTCCAGTGCCTGATACCAATGCCAAATCAAACGATAAAACAGTATTTAGCTGGAAAACATCCCACGGAAGGGTAAATTCCTATCCTAAAGAACCTAAGATATTATGAGACATAAAATACACCACTTGTCCACACGAACCCAACCAATTAAATGTTATAGCTTTCCTTTCTTTCAGAAATCTATTACATATTTATATTCGTCCACCTAGGTATATAGATACCAACAGACAGAGACATAGATAGACATCTATGTGTGTGTAGTTCTTTAAAAGGGTACCTATTGCAATTGTCAGGTCTCTTCTGAGGGCAAATCCCACTAATCTCTGAGACTCTTTGGACATTATGACAGGAAAGCCATTGTAGCTGGTCTCGTTAATCATGTTTTCTATGTCATCCACGGTCATGTTGTCCTGGGTCAGGACGGCCAGGGGAGGGTCACTCCTCCGAGGTCTCATGACATCGGCAGCCAGGGTGGTATGAGTGAATTCTTCTTTTGCATCCAAGAAAGGGTATCCATTTAGCCGGATGTGAGCTTCATAAATGCCTTCCCTCCCAAAGGCATCTCCAACCCATTTACTGGTCATTACTGCGGCCATCAGGGGAACAATATACTCCAAGCCTCCAGTGAGCTCAAAAACAATGACCACCAGGGACACAGTCATCCTTGTCACACCACCTGAAAAAAATAAGACCACAGGTCAGGAAGGGCAGGGTCCTCATCAATCCACGGTGGTAGAATTTCTGCACTAGGCAGGCGGTCACAAATTATAAACAGAACTTAGTGAAAAGGATCATCGCTATTTTAATAAGATCTAGAGAAACCAATCTTCTTTGTTCATAACACAGAAGACTATTAAAATAACATTTTAAAACTGGCTTACTTCAGATAAAAAAATCACAGCTGACCAACTAATACAGTTTGCCATTTTGGTTTACTGCTATCACAAAGACATAATTTCACCACTATAAAAGCTTACAATTAATTCTTAAAGAACTTGGTGCAGCACATCATAGCTAACTTGCTTACTACCAATTTACAAGTTAAACTCGTGGGAAGAATATTAAATTAATACATTTCTCCCCTCTAAATCTCTTCAAAATGAATAAAACACTCTGACGCCTTGCGGTTTCTGTTAACAGCGTAATGCCCCCGCTTAGAAAACTCACCTGAACTACTCCAGGTACCTACCAAAGCACCACTGTGAACCCAGCTCTCTGCTGAGGCCTCCCTGACCCAGGCCCCTCCACCCACGCTGTGTCTGCCCCGTGTCTCTGGCTTACCCACACCTTATCTTCTGGCTACGCTGGTCTCATTTCCAACTGTGAAGACTCTGGGGCACCCACTGTCGCAGAAACCATCACACACGCAAAGCCAGACCCCTCCTCTCCCCCAGAGAGCTGCCACCCCGGCCCCCAACTCCAGGACCAGACAACACACTCCTCCTGACAAGCCAGTGGCCACTCCTGGTTCATCCCTTTACTGTATCCCAACATCTAGACTCTCACCTAGTCCTAGCTGATGTGCTCTGCAAACATCTATCTAGGGGTCCCTTTCTCAGTATTCTCACTATTACCCACCTAGTCAGACCCTCAAGTCTCAGCTCCTGAATTTGAACACTGTTTCGTCTAACCTCCCTGACTGCGGGCCCCATTACCTTCCATCCACTTTATAAGCCATGTCCCCAGGTTAACCTTCCCTAAGTGCTACTTTCACCATGCTGCTCCTTTGCTCAAAAACCTACCAGGGCTTGTCAGTTGACACTGTGTGAAGCTAAAGCTCTTCCTTTTTGTTTTTTAACCTAAAAATAGAAGGGAGAAAGAACCTACTATATATTAGGTATCTACACTATGCCAGGGATGCCCTAGGTGGTTTACGAAGGCTTTTATTTTTTTAACCGAGCATGTATTTTACCAGGCACTGTGCTAACAGCTTTATATGCATTTTATTTTACATAATCCTGAAAAACAACTGTAGGAAATAAGTAGTTATTATTTCCATTTTAAAGATAAGAAAGATAAAAGTCAAGCAGTAAAGGAATTTTCCCAAAATCATCCCACTAAAAATGGCAAAGCCACAACCCTGCCACGGACCTGACCGATTCCAAATAGAAATTCATCCTGACATAAGTCACTGCCTCCTTCTCACCAATCCACCTTTCTTTCCCAAGGTGCCCAAAAGGCACTCTCTACTCCAACACTGCCAGGCTCGCCAAAGCCCCCCGCGTGCCGAGTTCACCCGTCCCGACCCCGCTGCCTGCACACCACTCCCCTCTTCAACAAAGGCAGCTGCTTCCAACCCTGCTCCTCTTCCAGAGCCCCTGCTGCCATCCTCCCTCTGGATCCCCGCAGGGCCCATGACGACGCTCCTGCGCTGGGGCCCATCGCCCCGTGCCGTGCTCCTCCGTTTAACCAGCGCCGGCCTTGTCCCCCCACCCGCGTCTCGTGAGGGGAGGGCCCACGCTCACACTTCTTTCTGTACCGCTCACCGCACCCCACGCAGCGCTCATCACAAAGTGGATGCCTACTTGCTGCTCTGCAGAAAACGATTCTTCCCAACACTTTCATTTAATATTACACTTTGGAAGATCAATAACTACACAATTCTGGCTCACTGAACAAAACTGAGTCAAAATACCAATTATAATTAAATATTATAACCAAAGTTTAGTTGACATTTTAAATATAAAATAAAATAATGATTTTTCATGTCCAAGAGAAACAGACTCTTAAGAATGTAATGCAGACATTCTGCTTTTCCTTGCCTTAGAACACTAGTTAGCTTTCTCCTTCGGCTGTAAATGCATGTTAAATGGAGGCAGCCTTGTAAAGGACCTTCTACTAAGGCTGACGGGGAACCTCTGCAGAGGCAGAGTAAAGGTACCCCGAAGCTCTGCTGAGCGCTAACCCAGGAACCACACTAGAGGGGCTGCAGGTAAGCCAAGCACCCCGACAACGAAAAAACAAACACCTCCTTGGCCAGGATTCAAATCAAGCCTCTGTTGTAGTGAGATGTTTTCTGCCCTACAGCATCATGCGATATTAAAAAGATGTTAACTGTTTTGCTTTAACAAGTGTGCAGGGGCTGGCGAGATGAAAACCAGTGCCGCACAGGCCACGTTCCTTGCCGTGCCCTCCTCCCCCACCCCACTCCTCTCTCAGCCACAGACACACGCGTGCACGCGCAGGGCCCCGTTACCTAAGCACGCGGCTGCGCCGACCATGGCGTAAAGACCGGGGGTGATGCAGTCGGCCCCAACCTCACACCACTCCTTGAAGATGAACCAGTCGTGGTGATAGTAGGCCAGCTGCTCCACTGCGATGCCCACGATGCGGCCGGCGATCGCGCCGATGGCCATGCTGGGGATGAACAAGCCGGACGGGACCTGCAACGGGGCAAGCGCTCGGTGAGGCATGTCCTCTACGCGCCTGCTCCAGACCGATGGTCTAAGCCTTGAGGCCAATGCAAAATCCTGGTGCAAAGGGAACTACAGCAAACCCTTGTTCTAACTGTAAGGGCAACAATCCCACCAGCTCAGTTACAAAGTAACAACCCACACTCCCCAGCCCAAAGAGAAGGTGACCCAAGAGTTATTTCTCCTTTAGCTCAGGGGTCTCTTCATGCCGGTCCCTTACATACACACATACATGAAATGATTAAAAGGTGCACAGTTTTCTTGATTCAATTTAGTGAGGAAACCAGGAACAGTACAGACCAACTATTTAACCAGTATTAAAAGACCAACAGCTCCAACCTGCCGGGCACGAAACGAGCCCAGCACAGAGCAATACATGTTGACGACTGTGTCAGGTCATGAAAAGAATACGCACATAGAAGGGATCAAAACAGACGTTTCACTCTCCCATTAGGTAGGCCCTCAGCCACAGTGGAGGGCAACGTGGGCCTTGGCGGCCTGCCCGCTGCCTCTGGCTTCCGTGGGAGAAAGCTGGATTTACAGAGCAAACTCCCTGCAGAAGTGGGGGCTTTAGTGGCTCTTCTAACTTGATTCACTATGAAAAAAGGGGAAACTTCATGGCTTTTCTATCACTTAACCCTTATGCCCAGTGGACTAAGGCAGAGCACAACAGAAGAGAGAGACCGTGGTTCAAAGGCTGCTGCCGCTGCAGTCTGCTGAGCTGCAGCTGTCCTCCCTGTGGCTTGCGGTGGTGTGTCACTAGTGAATGGTAGCAGCTGCGTCAGCCACAGGGGCCGGCCTTTAAAGAACAACAGTCCGAAGGACAGACATCTGATTCCCACACACATCACTGATGATCGTAAGAATTACATCTCTGGCAAATCACTAACTGATGAATGTTATTCTCACTTTCATAAATTCAAAAGAAGCAATGTCCCAGGGCACAAGGCCTAGCTGCCTGAAACCCTGGGTGGAAAGGCCTGGTGCCCCCAGGCCTAGTGACTGATCTCTGAGCCCACAGGGCCCTCTCCAGCCAACATCCCACAGCGATATAGGAGGCAGAGTAAGGGCTCCCCACAAACACCCACACCCTAATTCCTGGGAATCGTCGCCGCAGGGTTGTTTAATCAGCTGACCTGAAAACAGGAGATTACCCCGATGATATGAGTGGGCCTGAAGTAATCACAAAGGCTTTTTAAATGTGAAAGAAGGCTTTAGAAGAGTTCGTGTCAGAATGCTGAGATAAAGCAAAGACTTGACCAGCCGTGGCTGTGAGGATGAAGGAAGGGGGCCAGGAACCAAGGCACGTGGAGGCTGGAAAAGGCAGGAAGACGGACTCTCCCCCCGAACCTCCGTAAATCCCTGTTTGCACCTTCACTTTAGCCCAGGGAGATCCAATTTGGATTTCTGAGGTCCAGAACTGTAATAAATGTATGTGATTTAGTGGTAATTTGTCACAGCAGCAACAGGAAGCTACTAAAAATGGTTTTAAAACGTGATGATGAATTCTCTGACACCCCTTCCCACTCTGAGGTAGAGTGTGCGTCCCCTCCTTGAACCCGGGGCCTCTGTGACCGCACAGAGAAACAGAACTCAACAGGAGGTGTGCTGCAGGACATCCTTGGCTAGGTTAGAAACAGTCCTCTTGGAACCACTCTCTGGGGACCCTGAACTGCCACCATGTGAGGAATCTACCCACCCTGAGGCCGCCACGAGGGAAAAACCAGAGACAGACAGGCAGTGCAGGAGCCCAGCTGTCTGAACCTGCCCAGCCCAGGTACCTGACACACGAATGGCTTTGAAATAACCAGCCGAGCCGTATCTTGATGACAACCGTGGAACTGACCACGAACACAATATGCCCAGCTGAGACCTTCCCATCCTACTGACCCAACATCAAGGGCACAGTAAGCGATTCTCTTAAGCTGCTGGGTTTGGGATAAGTTGTCAACCCAGCAAGAGATACCATGCTCAACAATATCTCCTAAAAAACTCTTCTTTTCGTTACTAAAAATTGAACCCAAAAGATAACTTTTTCAGCCTACATTTACGAAGCAACCATCTTTAGATAAAACTTTCATTTCTCATTCCACATACAAGTGCTGAACACGCCAAGACTACTTACACATCACCTCACAGGAGCACCTACCTTGATACCAAAAGTGAACACTGTCATTATGATTTTAAATATGAGTGCCAAGCATAACTGCCATATAGCTGAATATACTCCAAGGCCTGCCGGACGATCAGGAATGTCATCAACGATTTTACTGGCGTTCATGTCATTTCTGTAGTCACAGAGAGAAGAGGATTCCAGGGGGCCGCAGTCTGTGAAAAGCTCTTTAATCAGTTCGCTGGTGTTGAGCCTCGTGTAG